GAATATCCCTACAAAATATGGCCTTATATGGTACAGTACCTCCATTTTAGAATCCTGGAATTCCCATTGATCAAGGAAAGAGTAGACAATTACTGCGAAGAGGACCAGAAAAGCAAAGGAACTGTGTATGCCTAGAAAAATACTTTATTTCGAGTGATCCCTGCTGTGACAAAAACATGTCATAGTTTCTGTTCTGGCATTCTATCTGACATTCTATTCTGACATTCTAGCGTGGCATTCTATCTGGCGTCTATTCTGACATCCTATCTGGCATCCATTCTGGCATTGTATCTGGCATTCTATCTGACATCCTATACTGGCATTCTATCTGGCATCTATTCTGACATTCTATTCTGCCATTCTATCCGGCATTCATTCTGGCCTTACGGGCATCTATTCTGGCATTCATCTGGGTATTCTTTCTGGCATTCTGACTGACATGCTCCCATGCTGCATGTGCTGTACATGTACCCATTTACCGGTTTGGTACCTAACATGGTAGCGGAGCTCCTGTGAGTGGCCGGTGACTTTTCCCATGGACGTTGCTGCATTCCAGGCGCTGGAAACACAAAGGCATCAGCCGATGCAGTGGCAAAGCTTGCAACGGCGTTGAAAGCAAAGTTTGGGGAAGAGCGCGAGGACAAGTTTTCTGAGGCGTCAAAGGTGGTGAAGCATCCTGAGATCATTCACCCGACACAGAAGGCAGGATTGGCGTTTGACCTTCAGGAGCTGGTTGATCTACGCCCAGCACGAGTATGAGAAGGATTTGAATCAGCCACAGCACCGTTGGATTTTGTGGAGATGCCATCAGGGCAGCATGAACGAGCTGAGAAGTTGCACTCCATCTTGGTTGGCCTTTTGCGCCACAGGCCAATGAAGATCTTGAGGGGGTGTCGATGGGAGGAATGGCTTGGAGGTGTGGAGGTTGCTGTCTCAACAGATGCAGCCAAAGACCAGAGCTCGACCAATTGCCCTACTACAAGCTTTCTTGGCTCACCTTCCATTCAAGAAGGGTGGTTGTCTTGGAACAAGTCCTAGGCCTCAAGCCGTTGGCGGAGGAGTATGCCCAGGTGTCAAAGGAAGAACTGAGTCACGACACGAAATTATCAGTTCTACTTCGACTTGTTCCCAATCGATGAGAAGTCTGCCTACCTGTCTGAGAGTGAGAGAGAGTGAGAGAGAGAGAAGGTGATAGCATATGAGGAGACAACAGCGTCATGGAGCACAAGCACGGTGTATCGAGAGCTGGATATTCGAAGAGATACAAAGATGAGGCAGTCCCCATGGACATCGACCGCATCAAAGGCAAGAACAAAGGAAAGATCAAGGGAAAGCAGAAAGATGTTGGAAAAGATGTCAAGGGCAAGGGCAAGTTCAAGGATGGTGGAAAACCCAAAAGCAAGAACAAAGGCAAGCCCAAGGAATAAATATGGCAACTCCCAACTCCGGTGATGGAGGGCGTGGAAAAGGCAAGGGATTGCCAAATGACATGTGCAAGCTGTGTGGAGCAAGGGGAGAATGCCCTGTCAGAAACTTGAGGCAGATTGCACAGGACTCATCGCCGCAATGGTGAGTAGTGTAACTAGCAGTCATGTTCAAGGCTCACAACGGCATCCACAGTTGTCCGAAGGAGGTTGGGTAATCTCATTGGCTACATGCATGCAACTGGAGATTTCCATTTGTGCATGGCAGATACAAATCTTCAGAAGTTGAGCACTTGGTTTGGCTACGAGACCTGAGTATGTTGATGGCAAGGGCATCTGGCTGTTGGAGGTGGCGACAGACTCTGACTGGAATGGTCAGAAGGAGACAAGGTCATCTACAAGCTGCGGAATGGTTTCCTTGGTGGTATTTGGTTGTATGGATACACAGAGGCGGCCTTGGTTGGTGAAGCATCCGAAGGTCTTTTCTTGAAGGCGGTGATCCAACTTCTTGTGCTTGGCCCTGTGGAGCTGAAGTGATGGGAGACAACGCATAGGCAATTGCCATTGGGATGAGAGAAGGACTTTCCCGGTCGAGACGGGCGCTTGCTGTGGTTGTAACAGCGCCAACAACTTGATCTCCAACTCAGGCGGGTGGACACGCTCACAAATCCATCAGGTTTGGGGACAAAGGTGCTTGGAAGACGCAGAGTTTGGCTTCTTCTACTTTTGCTTGGATTTGAATGATGATGGTGATCTTGGCAGGAACGTGTGAGAAAGGAGAACCGTGAGCAGTGCAGTCCGAGGTTCAAGATGCACAGCAAGGTCTTGAGCCCACCACACCAACTGGAAAGCAGTTCGTTTCTTTGGAGACGGTTGCAATCACAACCCCATGGACAACTGTCTTCTTGGTTGTCATCATCGTGGTTTTGCTGATTGTGAGCGTGGTGTTGCTGAAGATTATGCACGTGATGCACCTCAGACCTGAGGCAGCTCGAGATGCAATGGATTGGGCTCGAACGCAATGCAAGCAAAACCGTGTCAGAAGACTTATCAGAGATGTTGAGCAAGCACAATTTGGTGTCTACCTCGAGGACGCCAGCTCAGAGCATGGACATGAAGCAGAGTTCTGAAGATGATGGCCTACCAAATGGAGTTGCTCACATCCGAAGGATGACATGTGAGGAGTTTTTTTCTGGTTGGGAAGTAGATGGTGAATCAGAGATTGAGGAAGGAGATGCTGAGATTGACATAGCAGCTGCTGCAACAGGTATGGCGGTGGAGAGTGGTGAGCCTGGTGCACTAGCTGAAGGTAATGGCTACGACTTTGACGTCGACGTGGACAGTATCTCGGTCCATGGTGAAGGTCCCAGTGGTGGATTGGATGGCTACACAAGCCTCATGGATTTGGAACAAGAAGAGGAGGAGGAGAGCGATGATGATTTGGTGACAGATTCTGGAACAGTTGCTATGGTGGATGAAGACGTCAATGTTGCCGAGAGGCTCGAGGCGGCTGAGTATGATGACAGATTCATTTGAGCGGGTGGGCCTCGGGGCGTGGAGCACTACATCGTCAGAAAGCTTTCCTGCCTGAGGAGCTTGCCAGTGACAAGAGAGATTTGGGTCGCAATCCAAGAATTCTTTGCAATGCAAAAGTCTGTGCAACTTGGAGGAGTTCAGGGGCTAAAGAAAGCTATCAGATACCTGTTGGCCAGAAGGCGAGACTGTACCAAGTCTGGTGCGAAGCTGGAAGGATTATGCCTGGAAAGTCTTTGGAAGAAATCCCCTGAAGGATGGGGAGGACCTATGGAGGAGCAGGCCAGAGGAGATGGAGAAGATGGGGTTCATAGGCGTGACTGAGGAAGATCAAGTGACATGCCGAAGCCGGCCACATTGGAAGCATTTCCACCATGTCCGAGAGCCAAGGCAAAAGAAAGTGTGGAGGAAAGGTCACAGACGTGGTCAACCAAGGATCCACCAGTCCGACGATGCTGATGGACGTGTGTGAGAGATTTTGCTGCCAGTACATGTGCCCATTTACCTTTGTGAGGCTTTTCAGCGCCCAAGCAAAACAGGAGTGTTTGCACTGCTTTGCTACCTAGCACATCCTCTCTTCTGACACGGGCACTGCCAGACCTCAACCCCAAGCGCCAGATCTCCGTGGGCACTGCCGGACCTCACTTCCGTGGGACTGCCGGACCTGGACTCATGGCCGAGGAAATTACCTTTGTGCAGCGCCAACTGAGATCCGGAGCTCCAAGACAATGGTGGTTGTTGGAAACAGTTGTCTTGGACAGATTGAACTCATTCCAATCCAATCCAACCCATACGTTTCACCTTACAGTCTAAGACTTGTGTCACAAAGTTTTATTCTTAGGAGTGTTTTTTTCATGGATCAGGAAGCGAGCGTTGGAGCTGGCTACTTAGCCCGCAGTCCGCGCGACCGCGAGATCATCGATTCGATCATTGCAGGTGCAGCCGTTGAGACACTGGAAACATGCTTGCAGGGTTAAGATCGAAGTTCTGATCGACTGTTCATTCTTGTCGGACCAAGTGGAAAATCAATATTGTTGAGACCTGTGTGTCAAGTTTGTTGACTCGCGATGCTACAAATCAAAAACTCGCTGTAATACATGGTAACTTAATTAATGCAGTACACCTCCTTTGCTCTCTAACGACAGGTTTGTTTTCTCCTCAACTCATTTTTGGGCAGGAAAAAAATATGTGGAAAATTTCTGGAAATTCCTAAAAGGTCGTGGGAAGTCTGGATCGTTATGGGCCATCATGGGTCTACGCCGTTTGTTTTGCCGCCTTCCAGGTTTGGAACTTACGATCAAACCCTGAGTGCAAGTGAATGCCCGAACTTTGCTTTCAAAGTCGAAGGTCTTTGATTTGATCTATGCATCTATGTGAATGTATCATGTATATCAGGTGAGAAATGCAAATCTTACTGTCCCAGTCAACGATTTCTTGATTGACCCCATAGGCACAAGTGATTTCCTTTCTTCAATTGGATTCAACTCCTCGCCCACACAGCTCATGTTGGAATCGAATGTCCAAGAAGGCACTTTCAGCCGATGTGCTGCAAATGTGAATCTGAGATGTCTTGCACCATGACTTTGCCAGAGGCAAGCAGGTGGCTAGAGCAGAAAATAAGACCTAAGGTCTGTGCAGATTTAAGCTGAGGCCCGCAAGAACCTCATGTCAAGCAGATCTGAACCTCAATCAACACAGTTGACGCTTGACGAGGTCCATGCGTTTGTCCCTACAGTTTTTGTGCTTCAAGCCTGTCCTTGGCCCACAAGCCGCCAACCAATTTCCATTCTGACGCAAGAAAGAGATGGGACTAAAATCGAATTGCCATGCTTCGACCTCCATTTTTTGTTGAGCTAAACAACTAAACATACGTACTCAACTTTCACTCACTTTGCGATGACTTTGGTGTTGACGAGCTTTCTCACCAAGGCGACCAACCCCCAGGAAGATTCAGAGGCCGATATCGAGGGCCAGAGATTGCAAAGACAATCAGAAATGCGAAACACATATGAAACACCTACGAAATTCTGCAAATAGGATGGAATGATTCATATTGTCAGTCAATTGGAGGACGAAGATGCTGTTGACGATCTTGGTCACGTGGCCAGCTTCCAAGTTCTCCATTTGAACTCTGTCAATGGTTCAGAAGCACAATAGCTTCATTAAATATTGCAATCAATCTTCATGCTTGCTTGCTTGCTTGCTTGGTTGGTTGGTTGGTTGGTTGCTTGCTTGCTTGCTTGCTTGCTTGCTTGCTTGCCATGTTCCAAAGTATGTGAACTTCCTCCACGGGCAGTTTCTACCATCCGGACTTCTTGGGGATGGCTGTACAACTGATTCAAATCAACAGCTGCGTGACTTAGGTTCAAGCGGTCGCAACTGACACTGCACTGATTTTCACTTCCCTCTTGGCTTTACAGGAGATAAATGTGGTATCAGTTTTGCCTTAGTTCTTGGTTTCTGCTTGCCTGATAAAGAACTTGAAACAGTGACGCGGGGTAGCGACAAGGAGTAACGCAGTGCATGTCAATTGGTCAGCACGAACTGAAGGACATCCAACCCAACATGGGTCCGACGCATGTCTGGCCTGGTACCAACACAGTGGAACACCACGCAACGCTTTGGGGTCAGACTCTTGGACAGCCCGAAAAACTTTTACAATGAACTGCTCTCAGAGCAATGTCAAGGAAATCTGAGAGCTTGGTGTGCTTTTGGTGTGCTTTGAGATGGGTTTTGAATCTTTGAATCTGATTTCGAGGTTCGCACATCACTGGTAAACTGTCAGTTGAAGGTGCTGACGAGGCACCGTTGTGCTGTCTGAGCACGCAAGTTGAAGCCTGCATGCCCAAACGCGCTCAGTTCTCAAATGTTGGAGGCCTTTGGCGTAGCGCATCGGAAGATGACTCTGAGACAAGGAGATTTGGTCCTCTACGACTCTCGGACGATGCACTGTGGAGGCTCCGCGATATGCATTGAATTGCAGACATGTACTCCCTTGATCTTGCACTCAAATCCTTGGATTGCCCAACTCCCAGATGCGTGAACAGGTGCAAACATGTCAGATCAGCGTAGATCTGTGTTCTGCGCCCAAAGCCCAGTAATCCTTTTCGCATGTCGATGGATATCGATGGGGGTGCCTACAGGGTACATAGGGTACCGAGAAATGCTCACAGAATTTGGTGCAGTGCACTGAGTGCACTGAGTGCACTGAGTGCGAGGTATCCACCATGGGGCCCGGGATTCGACCCGATGGTACAACGTGCTTTGGCCCCGAGTGGCGATGAGTGGCGATGAGTTCATGTTGTGATGGAAAGCCAGCGATGAGTGCAGCGTGTGCCACTCACACCTTCCTAGCGCCCTGTTGAGAAAGCTTTCGCTTGGCACCCTTACGCCCTTACACCAAGAATCGTGCAGGCTACAATAGGGTAAACTTGTGGTTGCCAGAGCTTGGCAAACGTGCTTCAACTATGTGTGCTCTCTTTGGCAACCCCGATAGAGTAAGATTTTGCTGTTGCTGTTTTCGTTTGCAACTTCTAAGGGGGTGAAGCACATGACTACCTGTGCAAGCAAGGTGGACTATGCTGGGCTCCCTTCGAGGGAGGCAAGACCGGGCATTTTTTGGATCGATGCTCCCCCTCGCACTCAATTCACCTGCATCTGGATACTCGTATCAAGATTATCCACGGTGCCATCCATTTTGTGAGTGTAGTTGGTTTGCTTACTGGAGGCTGAGTCATACTGAGTCAGTTTCTTTCGTGCTTGACACACCTTTCCGAAGAGGTTGAGACTCTCAGACTTCCCCCTGTCCAAGGATGCAGTCGGGACACCCACCAATACGCGCACTCTTGGAGAATTGCAATTTATAACATTATATAACATTGTTTATAACATTACCCATAGGATCCATGTATGCTATATATGGTGACATTTACCATCAATATACCCCAAATGTTAGCATATATATACCATACATGGATCCTATGGGTTATATAACCAGAGATGGTCCGTGGCAGGGTGCTCGATGCGATAAAAAAATGACTGTCAGGTCGCGGCTCCGACCGCTTCCTCTGTTGCGGACGCAGGCAATGCGTTGCCGCTGCCCTCAGCTGTTGGTTGCTTAGTGACCGTGACTCAGTGATGTACGTTTGACACAGCCTGGCCCGATTGCTCAACTTTTCAACAGCCTCTGATGGTTTTGCAATGTTTGCATCTCGCTTGAGAATATTTGTCTTCAACACGGGAACACGTTTCCACTATCGCTCGCTGAAGGATGTGAAAACAAAGCTGAGCAAAGAAGCAGGCCAAGAATCACTAAAGTTGACTAATGACTAATGTTGACTAGCAAGCAAGTCAGCTTGTGATTTGACACTCAGTAACTCTGATGGTGGCCCGATCATTGGTGTTTGACGAGCCGTCTGATGACTGTTGACCTTCCTACAGGCATTCAAGAAGCCGAGCAGCGGGGGGTGCCACCGTTGGAAGAGTGGCAGGCTGGGACCGGCTGGGACCGGCTGGGATTGTACTACTTTGATCTATTGTGATTGAGACATTGCTAAATCATGCTAAATCTATGCACAGACCCGATCAAACACATTGCAGGCATATTGCCGTGTCTAGCATAGACACCGTGCTAGTTCATTGCAGTAACTAATTCTTACATGCTAATTTGCTGTTTTGTATTCGTCACCAGGCTGCGGTGCAGTGCAGCTTTTGTGGAAAATGGAGGTGGGGCACCGAAATAGAAAAGCTGAAGTGTACAGTAGGCTTGACCGAACTCTCGTCATGGCAAAGCTTCAGGAAATAGAAGCACTGCGTTTAGACTCTTTAGATATATGATCTTTCGATATCTATTGTGCTGGGGTCTATATTTTGCTTTTAGTTTTGGAGAAGTGCTGATCCAGTTGGATGAAAAGCTTTCGGCTACAATTGCAGCATGACAGCCTCCGGTTATCTCCGGGTACCTTGTTTGCCAGTTCCGTCACTTTCTGCTTTTTCGTCTGCCTTGTTCCCAGGCCATGCGGTGCAGATGAAGCCCCCAGGCTCATGCAGGCATGCTGACCAGATCCCAGTGAAATGCAGGCTCTGCACGAAGCAGGGTAGCGCAAACTAGTAACAATTCCAGCACAAATCCACCACAAATCAGGCAAACCTCAGAAGAGTTTTGGTGCCAAATCCTGAAGGCTTAGCTCCTGTAATGATCATAACAACCTTGGAGGCGGCATGATTGGATATGATTGGATATAAGTGGGCATGAGATGGCATGAGACAGCTTATCCTCTTGGCATTGGTTCATTTCTTCCTTTGCTTATCTTTGATGATCTTTTCTTATCTTTGCTTCCAGGCAGACAATGGTTTTGCCTGCAAATTGGTTGGCTTCTCCTGCAACCAGGAGCAACGGTATCTTGCTTGCAGTTAGCGGCGGCACAACTTCACTGTTTCAACCTCGCACAAGTTTCATTGAACACAAACAAAGATAGTTGCACGATGTCAGACATCCACTGGCAGAAGGGGTCATCAGAAATGCTGGACATGGAGACACAAGGTACAGCAACGAAGAGATTGATGCGATCTTCTAGGTTGCACTTGATTTGATGATGCCTGATGCAGAGTCTGCAGCTGTTGTACATGCTCCAAAGGATGACAGTTTCGAAAACTTGTCAGTCCAGGCTGCTCAATTATGTAGTGGTGACATAAGACCCGAATTGAGGGCGGGAATCCACGCATAGATCATGCTTGACCTTGCTCACACCAACGATGCAGGGCGGTTTGGCATGCTGATCACATTGGCCTTTGCTAGCTGGCACTCCATACTTTTGCCCTGCTTTGTACAGTGCACAGACGCTTGAGCTTGAGCTTCTCAAGCAAAACACTCAACCTGGCCGCGGCTTGTTCTACAAATAAGATCAACTATATCATATAAGCATAAATAAGCCCTTTTTGCCACTCCCACAGGAAACATGTGATAAATTTGGTGCAAGGGCTCACCAAACCTCAGCGACTTGTCAGTGGCCGAACCATTCACCAGTGAAATGGCACCTTCAGAATATCGTGACTGGTGCTCTGTTGGCTCAGAAGCAGATAGCTAGACTTCTTGTCATTGTTGTTTAGCAACCTTAGTTGGTTGTGTGCAAGCGTATATTCTCAGACTGTGCGATGCCCTCAATGTCAATGATGTTCGACCCTAAGCTTTCCTCTTTCTTTGTGCAGGGCAGGCAGCAGATAGGGCAGAGATTGAGTGCTATTTTGCAGTGTTGCATGATCGGAAGACAAAGAATGAAAAAGGTCGTGACTGTCAGGAGTGCTTCCACAGGTATGACTAATGGTTGATTCTTTTGCAGTCTTCCGACATTTTTGAACCGATCTAAGGGCCATGGATACATTCCCAGAGCCAAAGCGATCAAGGAACAGCGGCAAGGCCCGTGTCATGTCAGCAGAACCAAAGACATCAATTAACATCACTTAAAAATACTAAAACCAGTACAGTGTATAATATCCTCAAAGACAACCTTCCTCAGCTGGAAGCTTCCGGTTCTCTGGAAAGGTGAAGGCACCCCTTGGACAGCGACGAGCTGGCAACCGCAATGAGGCTGACTTGTTTGAGTCTATTCAGATGCTTTGTGTGCTTTATTGAATGAACCGCACCAAGCATTTGTCACGGAACTCAGAGGACAGACTTCCTACAGGAGGAAAGCAAGAGAGACAACCAGAGAGAGAGAGAGAGAGAGAGAGAGAGAGAGAGGGAGAGAGAGAGAGAGGGGGGGAGAGCGAATGAACCACAGATAAGTTGCTCTTGTTTGGCCAGGACTATCAGTACTATGGTCGCCGACAAGGTTCTGATAGTTTATCCCGGCGTGTATTGAAGCTTCCTGAACCTGCAACTTATTTCACCCTTTCACCTTCAAATGTGAGGCAATTCTCGCGGATATGAACATTGGAACCGCCGTCCAGAGAGGCGTACCGATTGGCAGAAGGGCTCCGATGCTTTGCAGCATTATCATGAACAAGGCCAACAGGCCTTCGATGCGGCTATGCAGATGGGCCATTACATTCGTGGAAACGCACCAACTCCGGCACCTCAGGCGATTTGCTGGGTCCTGACAACGAATTTCAGAACAGCAAAACATGTAACACATATTATGATATACTATGATATACTATGAATATGGTTAAACAAATTCAGGACACGGCGTCTTTACTACAATTCAAAAAGACATAACTGATTCACCATGAATCTTTCCTTTCAAACATTTTCCTTATCCGTGCATGCGTGTATTTGTCCCGCCCCTTTCTTCAGTTTAATGTAAACCCCGGACAAATAAGCCATGGTTTATTAATTAGGGGGTGTGGTACTCCCCCAATAGTCATAATCTTATACTTAGCGTATCCCCCCCAATTTAGGCTAGCGGTGCTGTTAGCGACCCTATAGGAGAACACAATTTTCTAGTTTCTGGGAGTTTCGGGTGGGCGGAGGGCTCGGGGGGGTTGGGGGATGCAATAACGTTTAATAGCATTTGCATTTATAGAAGATGCAATTTTACTTGACGTTGCTTGTAAGGTGCAGATGATGCCACGCTACTGAAGGTGACTTCAGCTAATATGATTTATGCTACAGTATTTAACGATGTCTTCTTCTAACATATATGATGCTACGCTATGTCAGGTTAAGCGGAACTAGCATACATCATCATTGTACGCTACTTAAACAAAGCTTGCACTTGCACTTGCACTCTCAGTGGATGCGACGCTACTTGACGTATACCCACACTAACAAAAGTGATAATACGCTACTTGCTTTTGATGGTGGGGTGTGGGGGTGTGGCGGGTTGCAATAACGTTCAATAGCGCTTGCATACATAGAAGATGCTACGCTACTCAACGTTAACTTCATTTCAAATAAGATGTTATGTTACTCACAGTTAACTTCATGTAACATAGATGATGCTACGCTACTTAACGTTAAGATCATCTCAAATAAGATGTTATGCTACTTGAAGTTCACTTCATGTAACAAAGATGATGCTGCGCTACTCAACGTGAACTTCATTTCAAAAAAGATGTCTCTTGCGAGAAAGTTGGGCTCTTGTTTTTTCAAAAATAAAGGGTCCTGAAAACCAAAATGTAAATAATTAGGAAAAATAGTGCAATAATTAGGGAAACAATAAGGAAATAATTAGGGAAAAAATCGGGAAATAATTAGGGAAAAAATAGGGGAAAAAATCGGAAATAATTAGGGAACAAATAGGGAAATAATTAGGGAAAAAATGCGGAAATACGTTGGGAAAAAACTAGGGAAATAATTAGGGAAAAAATAGGGAAATAATTAGGGAAAACATAGGTAAATAATTAGGGAAAACATAGGGAAATAATTAGGGAAAACATAGGGAAATAATTAGGGGAAAAAATAGGGAAATACGTTGAGAAAAAAATAGGGACATAATCAGGGAAAAAATAGGGAAATAAGTTGGGAACAAATAGGGACATAATCAGGGAAAAAATAGGGAAATGAGTTGGGAAAAAATATGGAAATAATTGGGAAAAAATAGGGAAATAATTAGGGAAAAAATAGGGAAATAATTTTGGAGCAAGGGAAATAATTAGGGAAATAATTAGGGAAAAAATATGGAAATATTTAGGGGAAAAATAGGGTCATAATTAGGGGAAAAATAGGGACATAATTAGGGAAAAATAGGGAAATAATTAGGGAAAAAATAGGGAAATAATTACGGAAAAAATAGTGAAACCATACGGAACACATATTGAAATTATTAGGGAAAAATGGGGAATAAGTAAGAAAAAATATGGAAATAATTAGGGAAACAATAGGGAACTAATTAGGGAAAACAAGGGAAATAATTATGGAACAAATAGGGAAATAATTAGGGAAAAAATATGGAAATAATAGGGGAAAGATAGGGAACTAATTAGCGAAAAAATAAGGACATAATTAGGGAAAAATAGGTACATAATTAGGGAAAAAATAGGAAAATAGGTAAATAATTAGGAAAAAAATAGGTAAATAATTAGGCAAAAATCAGACATAATTAGGGAACAACTAGGGACATAATTAGGGAAAAAATGGGTAAATAATTAGGGAACACATAGGGAAATAATTAGGGAACAAATAGGGAAATAATTAGGGAAAAAACAGGGAAATAATTAGGGAAAACATGATTTTACAGGAGAAATCAATTATGGAAATAATGGCCACCTCCAAGAATTATGGAAAAAAAAAGGTTCGGATCACTTCCGGGATATTTTGAACCCTTATGGGGAAAAACCCAATTATGGAAAAATCGGACGCAGGCGCCGCCTGTCTAAGTTGAACGTTTTTTTTTTCCATAATTCTGTCGGTTACCATATTTCGATATTTTTCCCTAATTATTGCCCTATTTGTTCCCTAATTATTGCCCTATTTGTTCCATAATTATTTCTGTATTTTTCCCTAATTATTTCGATTGACCGGTTTTTCCATAATTATTTTTTCCATAATTATTTTTTCCATAATTATTTTTTCCATAATTAATGTTTGGGGCTCCACCTGTTGGACATGTCATGGATCCACAATTCAAACCCCTTTTTTTTGGGGGTTATGGAAGTATGTATGCAAATGCAAGTATGTAGTATCAACCCAATTGGTGGCTTGGCAAAAGGATACATCCCGCATATGTATGTACGTACAACAATGAGTTTTGGTGGTGCAATTGTATATCAATGGAAGACTTAGGGGCATATACCAGATCTTTAGACACATATTTTCTATAATTCAATAATTCCCCATTGCGAATCGATGGACATACTGTCACCGACAAAATTATGGAAAAAAAAAATATGGAAAAAATAATGATGGAAAAAAAAGGTTCGTAACTTTTCTATCATAGACAGGCGGCGCCTGTAAATTGAAACGTTTTTCTTTTCCATAATTCTGTCGGGTGCTGTAGTTAGGGAAAAAATAGGGAAATAATTAGGGAAAAAATAGGGACATAAGTTGGGAAAAAAGTAGGGACATAATTAGGGAAAAAATAGGGACATAATTAGGAAAAAATAGGGACATAATTAGGGAAAAAATTGGTAAATAATTAGGGACAACATATGGAAATAATTAGGGGAAAAATAGGGAAATAATTAGGGAAAAAAATAAGGAAATAATTAGGGAAAAAATAGGGAAATAATTAGGGAAAACATACGGAAATAATTAGGGAAAACATACGGAAATTATTTCCCTAATTATTGCCCTATTTGTTCCATAATTATTTCTTTTTTTTTCCCCCTAATTATTTCCCTATTTTTCCGCTAATTATTTCCCTATTTTTCCCTAATTATTTCACTATTTTGTCCCTAATTATTTCCTGTTTTTTTTCCCTAATTATTTCCCTATTTTTCCCCTAATTATTTCCATAATTTTTTTCCTAATTATTTCCCTATTTTTTCCCTAATTATGTCCTATTTTTTCCTAATTATGTCCCTATTTTTCCCTAGTTATTTCCTTTTTCTTTCCCAACTTATGTCCTTATTTTTTCCCTAATTATTTCCCTATTTTTTGCCTAATTATTTCCGTATGTTGTCCCTAATTAGTTCCCTATTTTTTCCCTAATTATTTCCATATTTTTTCCCTAATTATTTTTCTATTTGGTCCCTAATTATTTCCCTATTTTTTCAATGGCCCAAAATGAAAAAAGGCTGGCCCAACAAATTTAAAGCCTTGAAATCTTGACTTTCACAAAAAATGCTCCGAAATGCAGGTTTTGAGGTCTTGCCATTCTGAACAATGTTCAAATTCCTCGGGTCGCTATTGGCGCCGGTACCCAATTTAAGCAGCCTAGGTGTTTATTATAAAGCCCGCCGTATTGCAGGAAGCGCCGCCTCCACCTGTTCGCAGTCCTGTGCAAGAGCAGCAGATGCCAATGCGACTCCAATGTCAGTGGGGATTCGATGGATACATGCAGCCAATGCAGCCACAGGATACGTATATGTGGACGTGGCCTGCCATGCAGCCAGTGCAGTGCCAAGAGTGGATCTGGCCTGTGATGCCCCAAGCCCCACCACAGCCAGCCCCAGGCCCAGCTGTCTGCACGGAGGCGTTTGTTGCGGCTGGACACATAGTGCCGGAACTCCAAGGATTGACACGCGAACAAGTCGCGGCGGTGCTGAAGGAAGCTGCACAGGGTTTGCGATATGAGGATTGAAGCGAGCCCGATGCGTCGGAGTCATTCACTGACTGAGTGTATCAATTAGAGTCACCTTGCTACAGCATTCATCGGTGGCTATTGCAACCTGCACTTGATTTGAAGTACTTAATTGACCTAGAGTCCAGTGGACCGACGGCACGGAGCAAGTTTGATGTGACATTTTCAGACATGTTCCATGACTCCATGTTTTTGAGTCGACGACATATTCACGACACTTCACGACAGGTACTCGGCTTTCTGCCAGTCAAATCCTCGTCAGCACAGTCCGTCGGCGGTCCACGCCACAATCGATTGCCTTTGATATCATCATGTGATATCTATTCCACAAAGGCGCAGCGCGAAATGCTACTTAACGAGCAAATCCTCATGCTTTGGTATAAAATGAAAGATGTGTGCAGAGTGCAGCAAGAGCGACTGAGACTCTTGGTTTGCATGTGCTTGATTTGCTTGGTTGTCAAAGGGGGTCGCAAGATGTTTCGTGTTTCCGCAAGCACAGCTTCAGCTTGGCAGTATAGATGTACGACATTGAATCATTCCAACAGAGCAACTTTCAAAATCTTTCACATAAAGCAGCAGGAAGATTAGGAAAGTAAAGTCTGCAGCCATTTGCAGTATCATTTTGCATCAACACATGCAAGAGCTATTCAGCACCCTTTGCCTGGACTTATGGAAATCGAAGAAGCTCCAGAGTCGGAGGACTGACTATACTTGATTGCACAGTTTCTAAATCAAAGATGCCCTGCTACGACTCAGATTTTTTGAGAAACTCTTGTGAGTTCCAACTGAGTTGTCAGTAACTCGCTGCTGGGCTCTATTCCGCCGCACCTGTCTTGGTTTCATAATTTATGCACGGCAAATCACCACGGTCTTGGTGTCCATTTGTGTCTCCCGAGGGAAGACAGAATGACATGAACATGGGAGACTTGCAGGCACGAGCGAAGATAGAGGCTAACAGGCTAACATAGGGCAAATCCGCAAATTTGAATGCACATATTAAAGCAAGGCTGAGTCGATGCTGGGGAATTTGGTGGATTTTGTGAGCAATTTACATCATTTTACATCTATGCAATTCTATACATCTATTTACATCTATTTACACTTTTAAACTTCAGACTCATCAGACTCCAAAGCATTGCCTGCTTGCAGGACTTGCAGGACCTTACCAGCATCGCCAGGACCTTCTTTCCGTTCTGAGGAAACATGATAAACATGGCCAGAGAGCTTGGAGGAATGAAATGGCACACGCTCCTCCCAAGGTAGGCTTGAATCATGTCATACAAAGTCAAACATCCGTTGCGGAGAGTTCCAGACATGCTCAGTTTAGTATTTTTTCGAATGGTTAATTGGAATGATCTTGACACTGAATCGTCTGAATGCAGCTGTCCCAGGACTGCAGAAGAGGTTCCCATGGGCGAAGACAACAATGGTGACAGTATGTTGCAGTACGGAGTTTGTCAATGCCCTTCTTGCCCTCGAGTCTCCAGAGTTATGGTTCACTCTTGTCACTCTTTTACCTCGTGCGGTGCCATGGCCCCAAAGATATCAAACATGGGGCAAAAGACCCGTCCAAAACTGGTAAGGCAATCATTTGACCATTTGACAATAATTCAATATAATTCAATAATCTTCCTGTCTCGGATCGCAGCTGCAGAGCACACCGCGCACAGTATTCCTCAGGCCCAGGTGAATGCGCGCAACCCTCCTTTGTGATAGCAAGCATTGTCCCATAGGGACAGTTGTTGTGCTCAGACATCAGAGTGCGGTCGATTAAGCTATGTTAAACTGACTTTCAGATCATCGTCGGCCAAGGGCAGAAGCGTTGCTATGCAAAACACATCTCCTTTCTTTGAGCTTAGCCAGGTGCAATCTGTGCGACGGCAGCTGGAAGAACTTGAACAGGAGCTGCATAAACTAGCAGGTGCCCGTCAGCTTGGAACCATCAGATGTGGCAAGTGCAAGACTCAAGTCAAATGCTTGAAAACGCAGGTACCCCAAATCACAAGCCAAGGATTGAATGCTGCTTAGAACAATAGGCGGCTTGTGGTTTCTTGAGAGGTATTTCAGCGACCTAAGCACTGACATCAAAGAACAGCAAATTGCAGAGCCACTACGTGCCACTCCATATCAAAGAAAACTATATACTAGAATCTGAGGCCCATTTAAAGACAACATATTCATACACATTCTAGCATTTTTCTCAGCTTCTTCCAGTCCAGCACACCTTGGAGTCGAAAAGGAGAAAAGGAGCAAGGTGATATGAAACTTCTCTTGGAATGGCTTGCTGACTCTTGCTGTGGAGGTGATGACTTTCGAAAAACGGAAGGCCAGCAGAAGACAAGAGAGCATCTCAAGAATTGGTTAAAACTGAATAGAATTGAATAAGGATGATTGCGTTATAGTTAGTATTAATATATTGTTATATATTATGATATTGTGTTTTTGTTCCAAACCATGGATTTTTAGATATATGGTTCAGGAAGGATGTCTTTCTCCAACATGGAAAGACCTTCAACCTCCTCCCTATGTGACTTGGAGGTCTTTCCTGCTTACACGGCGGAGAGATGAGCCTCGCAATGGCGAAGGAGTTTGTGCTGCCATGGCCAAGTCTTGTTTTGCGAAGCTGGTCGCAGGCCATAGGCATAGCTGAAAGATGCTGGAAGTGCTAGACGGAAAATGGAAGGAGACTGAATGTGAGTGAAAATGCATTGAATGCAATGAATTCATCGATGCAATGCGCGGATCATCACGGGTATATCGGTATATAGTTTCAATTTCTTTTTCGGTTCAATTTTTCTTCTGATCCTTACAGAGAACCAAAGCCTGGGAGTATCCCATCAAGTTGAATGGCACTGCAGGAGCTCCTGTCTGCGACCAGGACTTGGGCAGTGAGGGCAACGCAAGGGCAACCGGCAACGAAGCCGAGCTGTGGGGTTAAGTCGGTTAAGTTCCATGAAGTTCCAGGTGAAGTCATGTCGATGCTGTCGATGCTAGGAGTTCGCTTCGTGATAAAGAGATATAAAGAGAATTGATCAAAATTGATCAAAATTGATCAAAATTGATCAAAATTGATCAAAATTGATCAAAATTGTAGATTCTTTGAATTTGTTTGAATTTCTTTGATCAAATCTCAGGAACTCTGGAGCTGAACAAACATCTGACGTACCATCTGATGCAGGGGCCTTGGAAGCGATATTGAGCCATTGATCCTGCCCTTGCCATCAAGGAACTCTGTATCCCCTGGACAACACTAGCGTGGTTCAAACTGATGCACATATCAACTACTGTAAACGCAATTCAATGTCGAACCCCTCCTGGGCAGTTTGGGTGTGCACTGGGGCTTTCAAAAACAGGGTACGCAGGGTTTGAGAGGCGGTTAAGCGAGCTCAGTCCAATTTTGTATTTCTCAGGTTCATGGCTATGTGGTATCACCAGTGTCCAGTCTTGCGCTGTCAACTCAGCCTGTGACTGGAAACCTGAAGTCGGACCATGTGGGAGATTGTAATAGCCCCGCGCATACTCGTTTAGTATTCCATGGTCCCCCATGAGCCATGATAAGAGAAAAAAACGATAATGTTGGTTATGTGAATGATGCGTGTCCAGACTCTTGAAATCCAATCGTTCTGCAGCTAGCGCTTGTGGTCTCTTTCTTTCATATGAAACGTGCCCTGATGAAAATCAAGCCCTGCTCCTACCGTATATTGCGACTTGCTACTCAAGTTAGTTTTTTTTTGCCCGAACTGTTGAATTTGTCAGCAGTCACTGTTTAATACCCTGCAATAATCAGTGAATATATATATATATATAAACATGTGCAGGCATGATAGACACACACACACACATAGTGTATATATATATATATATATACGTATGTATACGCACACGTATGTATATGGCTTGCTGGCGTGTCTCTTCTTCCACTGTACAGCTGGTGCTGCACTCTTCCTTCCTTGTCATGCATCGTCATGCTGCGATGTTTTTCCAATTGTTTTCATTGCACTACTTGAGTCACTGTTTGCGTTGACATTGTCATTGTTATTTTTTTTTTCTGTCACTTTCGAGAGTACGTCTTTGGGCGCAGTGGCTCTGACATGGATACTGTAGGATGCCTGGCAGGATTACCCTGTGTACTTGCTCTCCGTGACCAAGTTTCTCCCTGAACAAACTCTTGTCTTGGAAGGGCATGTTATTGCTGGAATTGTGCCTGTCAGTGCGTGTGCTTGTGCTTGTGTGTGTGTGTGCGTGTTTGCTTTGGGGTATGATGATCGTGATGATGTTGATGATGTTGATGATGATGATGAGGATTATTATGATGATGATGATGGTGATGGTGATGGTGATGATCACTTCCTTCGTTTGGCTCGCTTTCATGTTGGACGTCCGATTTTGAAATTCTAAAGCTAGGTTAATGCACGTATGGATATAAATCCCCATGTGACTAGAACCCTATATGGCCATATGAATCTGTATGAATCTAATATACATATATAATTAATACCCTCAAGTACTACAGTAAAGGTTTGGAAATGGGGACCAGCCGGCAAAGGGTTGTGGATGGTAGCTTGAGGCATTTTAGACCCCTGCGCCTGGCTAATTTTAGACCGCTCGACTTTCTATGCATATCATTGTACTTATGGATATTATAGTATATTTGATTATATTTGTATGTAGTTGCTGATCTTGTAGATTTTATTTGTATATTTGTTACAGTAGTGGCAGTGACTGTTGTGAGTTCATTTAGCAACACATATTAATCATAAAGTTTCAGAGACCCTGTTGGGCCATGTGGGCCCCTACAAATTGGGAAGGTATAGTGGTACCAAAATGGAAGCGCAAAGTGTTCTAAAGAGTGTCACATAGTGACCGACCCAAGGCAAACCTGAGGATAGCAGGTGAACCGGAAAGACTGTTAGGCAGAAGATGTACAAAGAAGAGTGCGGCGAGAGTAGTACGAGGAAATCATGTTGTCACTTTGACATTTAGTAGTAAATAATTTATACAGTATATATATAATATATATATACATATATATATATATATGTATGTATGTATGTATGTAATGTAATGTAATGTAACGTAACGTAATGTAACGTAATGCAATGTAATGTAATGTAATGTATTGTATGTAATGTATGTCATGTATGTCATGTATGTCATGTATGTCATGTATGTAATGTATGTAATGTATGTAATGTATGTAATGTATGTAATGCAACGTATTGCAATGTAATGTAATGTAATGGTATGGTACGGTATGGTATGGTATGTAATGTAACGTAATGCAATGTAATGTAATGTACTGTGCTGTACTGTAATGCAATGCAATGTAATGTAATGCAATGGAATGTAATGTAAGTATGAATGTGTGTATGTATGCATGCATGCATGCATGCATGCATGCATGTTATGCATGTTATGTATGTGATGTGTGCTATGTATGCAATGTATGCTGTGTATGCTATTTATATAATGTATGTACTGAATGTAATGCATGTAATGTATGTAATGTATGTAATGTATGTGTATGTAATGTATGTGTATGTAATGTAGGTAATGAATGTAATGCAATGTATTGTATTGTATTGTAATGTCATGTCATGTCATGTCATGTAATGTATGTAATGCATGTAATGTAATGTATTTTAATGTAATGTAATTGTAGGGTATGGTATGGTATGTACATACTGAACAGTATAGGATCCCTCTCTCTCTCTCTCTACATATGTATGTATACTTGGTAATGATATTGTCCACGGCACACACACACATGTGGATGATGCAAAGGTAGGGGCCCGACCAACAGAAAACAGTCAAGAGATTCCTGATCGCACAAAGGATTGACGGGGTCACCCCTGATTGGCCACCATCAACAAGAATATCACCAAAAGTGGAAGTAGATGGTTGGATGCCACACCTATGGCTAACCCGCTAACCCATGATCACACCGCAGATCCACAAAGTACCGCCCCTTTTGGTCAGGCACACCACGCAGTCAAACCCCTCTCCGGGCCAATGGAATTTGCAGCATGAGAATGGTTTGAGAACCCAAGTCGCACACAAGACATGACGACACAAGACATGACGACAGAACCCATGGCATGGTGCCCAAGGATAATGGAAAGCGTTATTACAATCACAGTACATATTAAACAATTTAGAGTAGCAACCATATTTGTACATGGTCGACGCGCGCACACACACACATGTCTGTATCATAGCATGTTTACACACATGTAAGATATGTAAGATGCATAATACCAAAAACGAAAGACGGAACTGACAGAACTCTTAGAAGTGACGTGGCATGACGTGGCATGATGTGGCTTAGGTCACAGATCCCTGCGCCGCGCTCCGCACCCTGCAGCAATGCTGCAGACCGGCGCGCAAAGCTCCAGAGGGCGGCACGGATTCTCTTGAGGCCCAAGTGGGCGGTGAGTTGCCGAGTCATCAGAATACAGCCGTGATTTTTTGAGATTGTCGGCTGATTGGAAAGCTTGCTCTTTTGAACTGCTTGAATGTACTGTACACATTCTGAAACGCAGATACGAAACTGATAGTTAATGGCAGGGCATCCAGTGCAGCTGGAAGATCCAGCTGAACCAAGGCGAAGCATGGATCATCACTGATGAACTGATGAATCAGATGATGCGTATTGGTGCGTAGATAGGCAGATTTATGTCCACACTCAGGCATCTACACATGATCTATTAATACATGTATGGTCCAGCGTTCCAACCCCCCTCCTGCCCCTGGCCATGGTCATGGGCTTAGTAATAGATAGGGGTGGTGGGGTGGTGGGGTGGCGGGGGGGGGGGATGTTGTCTCTATGGTGATGGGCTTTCGACACGACTCAGTATGGTAATGGTCTTTAGGTATTACTCAGTATGGCTTGGCTTGTGATATTACTGTATAGTACTGAATATGGTGATATGATGATCATACGTTTGGAGTAGAAAGACGGTCTTTAGGTAGTATATGGGTAGTACATGGGTACGACATAGAAGCGTGTGTTTGTGTGTAAACCGCTGTTTGGCGCAGTCTTTATTAAGGAAGCAGGTGGATGGATCAGAACCCGGCCATCCCTCTCATCATTGCTGGATGGCCAACGAAGAGGCCAATGACGAGAGGTGTAAACGTACCTGCAGGCAATTCCTGGGTGTAAGAAACACACAGCTGGAATGCCACTAAAGCAAGGAATGCAACTTTGTCTAGGTTGAAAACACAACTCACCGTTGCTTGTGGCTGATCAGGCCTACTCAGGAACAAAAGGCGATGGCTTTGACATCCTTAGACAGCTCCAACTCATCTCAAAACACAGCAATGTGTGTGTGTGTGTATGCGTAGTAAATCAATAGTACGCAGGAAACATACATTAAACACATGTAGTGTTGTGGTAGTACAGCATATAAGTAGTAAATAGGAAGTAGATACGTAGCATATATCTCGTTATAGGTAGTACGTAGGTACTTTTGAGGTCTACATGTACTGTAGGTCGTCTAAAAGGTAGCATATACCTAGTACATGAAAGGCCGGGGGTCAGAAATGTCGCAAAAACTTAATAAATACAAGCTGGAAAACAGAAATGCCGCACATAGCTTGCAAAGAGAAGGGCCTGGGATGCTGGCTGGGGATCCATGCCATTGGGGGGGCAGGAACACGGAACACGAGACCATGTACTGCATATAATTATACATGTATATATATTTTTAAATACATATATATATATATATGTATATTTATATGTATGTATGAATACGATCCGTCATGCTTGCAGAAATTATTGGTAGTACGTAGTGTCGTTATTGTAATATAGTATATCTATATTTCCTATGAAGTAAACGATACATATATATATATTTACATACACATAATTACACAATGTATGCAGTATATACATTATACATCATATATACAGGATATATACATTGTATGTACATTATATAAATATATATGTAGGCATTACATGTTTGGATTGAAACACTTGTTCGCATTTTGCTTCACATACAAAGACCTACTCCGAAGAGTTCAGGTGCGGTTACTGGAAATTCAAGCAAATAGTACCACGAGAGGCGTGTATTTGAGTTGATCTGAGCATGTTTCATTAGCGTGTACTGCCATGTACTCGAAGCATTCTTTGCTCAACTGATGATCTCAGACTGACACATCTTCTGTCGCTTGGCTTGTCAGACAGTCAAGAGGACATTGCCATGATGAATTCCCGGGCTTGGCAAACAGAATGTGGTCATGCAACATGTCAAAGATATTTCCAGAAGGGATGGATTTCCAATTTAATGAGTTTCACTCTGTGTGTGCGTGTAGCATCCCAACAGATGTAAAACTTGTGTTTTGTTTTGGATCTGTGTGGATTTTTTCTCGTTGAAACTTCAGTCACCAGTAGTTGCAGTGGCGTGCAACACCTTTGGCATACTGCATGCAACGAAGCTGTTGCCATTGTGGGAAGGGGAGGTTGTTCACCTCCGTGTTCCTGCGGAATTCCGGTTTGAACATTTGAACAAACTGTGCACTTCTATTGCCTATAAAGGAAGGGAAGGGTCGGTTCCAATCTTGCTGGGGATACGTTGGCACCGATGGATGCAGCTTTTGTGGACAAGAGACTTTCAACTCCTGACTGCACCTCTCTCTCCTGTCAGGTTTGCTGGTGTTGCTTTTGCACGAAATTCATTCCAACTTCACAATTGGATAGGCGATTCTGAGCAAGTGTGTCACTCATGCTGGATTCGACATGATGGCATGAGCCCTTCGGGGAATACCTGTCAAGATAAGAAGTGGGATCCGTGAGGTACTTTGCAAGGGTTTGGGAGGCGGTTCAATGCGCACTTCCTGAACAACTTCTTGTTGAGGCGTGTGGGAAGAGGAATTTGCCACATGAGATGGGACTTCCAAGGTGGGAACTGGCAGGTACCGAGGAAGGCTCAAAATCAAGCATGGGGAGGGGTTTGGGCTACCCATGCTTCCCGAGAACAACAATTTCTTGTTGTTGAGGTGCGTTGGGAAGAGGAATTTTCCACATGAGATGGGACTTCCAAGGTGGGAACTGCAGGCATCGAGGAAGGCTCAAAATGATGCATGGAAGGGTTTGGGCTGCCCATGCTTCTCAGGAATGGGGTGGGAAGGGTTTAGGATGGTTTAGGAAAGGTCAAAATAACAGGTTTGTAGCAGGCACATGTTGACTCTGCTTGTAATCAGTGGAAACATTAATGGGGATCGCTAGCTTTACAACTTCGGTATAGACATCTTTAAAAAACAGCTGTTTCATCCAATGTACACCGGAATATACTACAAACTCTAAGAAATGACAATTGGGTTTTCGAGGTAGGGGCGAACATATTCACTAAAAAGTGTTCTATTTTTATTCATGCAGGTCTTATCAATGGAACTCACATGCCTCGCTAGAACATGCTGACACAGGCTGCAGCTACAAACTGCATTTCCTGATACCATTTTTGTGCTACAAAACCGTAGGAAATCGCCGGTCTCTACCAAGGACGGCACCACCCACATTCTAGTGGAAATTGGAACAGGAATCATTCTGTCATATACACTCATATTAACCCACATCTCGTATCTTTGCTCATGTAGGAAGTGAAATCTAGAGTGTGTGTGTGTGTGCCATCTGTATAGATGTAAAACTTCTATATTGCAGGGGGATGAGGGTCCCTTGGTGTGCCTCATCTAACAAAGACCGCACCAAGTGGATGTGATATCGGTACCTGGCCAGCGCTGACGTACCTGCTACTTTAATATAATATAGTCCCGCCCCTGGGCGCATATAAGTCGCAGCTGGGGGGGACATATAGTTTATCGCTGTTGTTTTATAGGATCAACGTCTACTGTGATTATACGTCTATATATATATATATTTATTACTTTTCATTCTTTGTGTCAGGTTGAACTGGAGTGTTTTTGCACGTCAGATGCATTCCACATCAATAATTCGATAAGACATTTCTGAGCAAGTGTGTGATTCATGCTGGATTCGTCAAGGTGGCATGAACCCTTCGGGGAAAGCCTTTCTAGACTAAAAATATACACGTTGAAACGATCTCTGAATTTACACTTTTGAATTGGTAATTCATGTAAGTAAAGTGAACCGCTGGCCTTCTTTCCAGTGTTTCGCACGTCGGTTGAGTGAATGTTGAACAGCGTGCCGCAGTGCCTGGCATCACCGTTTCTTTTGTCTGAATTGACACTTTTGAATTAGTAATTCGTCTAAGTAAAGTGAAACAGCCGTTCACTTTTCAGGTTTCACCCTGTCGGTCGAGTGAGTGTTGAACAGCGTGCCGCTGTACCTGGCATCACCTTTTCTTTCATGATCAGGCAGCAGGACATGCTTTAGGTGTGGTTTCTCTTTCTTTTTATGGTCGTTGGTGAGGTTCAATTGTGCACGTCATTCAGGGGTTGAACACGCAAGCTGTCCAGAGGGTTTTGACAAGAAAGCCGAGGGCCCTTGAGCCTTATCACGAATCTTGCATGACATGTGGATGCATCTTCATCAACTTGTCCCCCATGGGTTCCTTTTCTCACGTGTTCTTGCGTTCTCCCCTCTTCAGGTAGGTTTGGTCCTTCGCGTGCCGAGGTAGGCGTAGGTTTTCGCCGTGTTAGGTTGGTTCAGGCGCTTCCGTCCTTCCCCCCCTCCGCTGGTCTTGTTCCGTTGTCCGTCGGCCTCCGCTTTTCTTTTCCCTTGCCTTTTCAGGGTTGCCCGTTCCAGGCCAGGTGTGTCGTGTTGGTGTTCTCTCTGTCCCTCTTCTTTTGCGTTCCCCTCTTCGCGTCCTGGTTAGGTAATGTTCATTTTCATTGTCATCTCACTTTCATTTTCATTTCATCTGCCCCGCCGCGGTGGGGAGTGTGTGTGTACCATCTGTATAGATGTAAAACTTCTATATTGCAGGGGGATGAGGGTCCCTTGGTGTGCCTCATCTAACAAAGACCGCACCAAGTGGATGTGATATCGGTGCCTGGCCAGCGCTGACGTACCTGCTACTTTAATATAATATAGTCCCGCCCCTGGGCGCATATAAGTCGCAGCTGGGGGGGACATATAGTTTATCGCTGTTGTTTTATAGGATCAACGTCTACTGTGATTATACGTCTATATATATATATTTATTACTTTTCATTCTTTGTGTCAGGTTTAAATGGAGTGTTTTTGCACGTCAGATGCATTCCACATCAATAATTCGATAAGACATTTCTGAGCAAGTGTGTGCATTGCTTCACATGACATGTTTTGCATCTTGGAGAACGTAAATAATTGCAGAGGTCCTATGTCATTGCAGAGGTCCTATGTCGTATGTAATGTAATATTTTTCCGATGCACTGACATGGGATTTTGCGTTTTTTTTTGGGGTATGTCGGACTACTTCCATGACATATGCAGGTGCTATAACATTTTTTCAAAACAGGCAGAAAAACAAATGTAACTTTTCGAATTTCTAAAAGATAAACAATGTAATAAATACGACTGGCAAATCGCAATTTTTGAACATGTCAAAAAATGTTAAAAAATGCGTCTGGCAAATCGTAATTTTTGAAAATGCAAACGCTTGTAAAATATAACTCATTTTTCCGTATTTTTTAATTTCTTTTGATTTACGTTTGTTTTCTAGCTTTTTGTTCATATAACAAATACAGTCACTGTACATCTTTCACGAAAAGTTGCATTTTCAGATTTGTATTTTTTATATTTGTTTTCAATTCACATCCAAAATTACATGTTCAGGTCACATTTTTCCCATATTTTTTCATTTTCATATCTTTAATTGTTTATAGGTTTAACGACTCTAGCAGATTTAGGGCATTTCAAGTTTACTGGTGTTGTTTTTGCACGAAAGATGCGTTCCAACTTCACAGTTCGATAAGCGATTCAAGGAAGCAAGTGCGTGGTTCACTTCTACTATTGGCGCCCGACCGAGGTGTTTGGTGTCATGGCGTGCTTCAATTGGCTTGCTGATGTTGCTCTGTCCCTGTGCTCCCCGCGAGAGGTTCGCCAAGTCCGCACAACAGCAGATCCACCAATGGCACCTGAAGATGCCCTCAAGCTCTTGAAGGACAGCAATTCACAGGTTAAAAAACGAACCATACTTGACGCAACAACATCCAAAAATCCAAAACGAAAGGCATTTTAGCTGTTTACTGTAGATCAATTGCCAAAGACCGCTGGTGCTGGCTGAGGGAGCAGCAAAGACTAGGCAAACCCAAAGTTTCGAACGCTGCAGTTTTGCAGCACAGGCTTGACAGGAATCAGTCCAAGAGTTGGCGTGAACTCTCCTCAAATTTGAATCATGTGAACTCCGGTCACTTCCGGTCCCCTGAAAGGAGGGCAATCGGCGCTTCGTGGATGGACGGCCATTCGGTTCCAGGACCAAACATGCTGCCCGTCGCCAGTTGGTGGACGAAGGTCAAGCTCCTCACACTGCCATCATTGGCTGTGCGGATTCCCGAGCGCCCTTGGAGATGATATTTGATGCCATGCCAGGCCAGCGTTTGGGCCAAGGTTTTTGTAGCAACCACGGTGAGGTTGTATGATTTGTATGCCACCGTAGATGGGGCTTTAAGGTGCTAGGCTCAAGTTGACTTTATGTGCATCCCTTCAAAGCACTGTGTGAGGCGACATCTTTGCTTTGCGCAACGCAGGGAACACCTGCACACACGCTGAAGGGAGCATGGTTGGCTCGCTTGAGTTCTGCACTGGCAAGCTGGGAAGCCGCTTGATTTTGGTCCTTGGACATACCAAGTGCGGAGCCATCTATGGAGCTACGAAGACCTTCATGGATGCTTCGAATGCTTCGCAGCGAAAGGCAGGATCGGCCTTGGAAGGTTTGCTGCAAGGCATTGGCTCTGTGGCTGAACAAGCTGCACAGGAGGTTGGGCCCGGCGCTAGCTCAGATGATGTGGCAGCCCATGCGGTCCAGGTGAACGTGTTCCACACTATCAATTTCTTGTTGAAATATTCGCACTCCATCCGAGAGAGTGTGAGGTCAGGGCAAGTGCAGATTGAAGGTGGCATCTACCAATTGGAGACCGGATCCGTAGAATTCCTTGGAGCATCGCCTCGCCAAGGTGAGTTGCTCAGCAGCAGTCTGCCAGTTCCCCCTTCCATGATCGCTCCAGATGATGCGCGTGGTGTTCATGGCGTGCGCACGGCTGCAGACGAACGAATGCCTTCAGATGTGGCATTGAAAATGCTGAAGGATGGCAATGAACGATTTGCTGCCGGAGCCCAGACTGCTAGCAGCACCTCTGGGGATATGCTAAAAGCTTTGGCAAAGTACAATCAAGCTCCGCATAGCGCCATCCTTGGATGTGCAGATTCACGAGTTCCAGTGGACACTGTATTTGATGCTATGCCTGGAGAACTTTTTGTTTTGCGCAATGCAGGAAACACCTGCACACACGCTGAAGGAAGCATGCTTGGCTCGCTTGAGTTCTGCACTGGCAAGCTGGGAAGTCGTTTAATCCTTGTCTTGGGACACACACAGTGCGGTGCCATTGCTGGTGCCACTACAACTTATCAATCTTATCAGTCAGATGAACCCCGAGCTCCAGGCTGCGCTTTGGAAGGTTTGTTGCAAGGCCTGGCGGCCGTGGCCAAAGAAGCAAGTAGTGACTTAGGGCCGGGTGTGCCGCAAGACAAACTCGTGAGTCACGCTGTCAAGGTGAACGTTTTTTCCTCCATAAATTTCCTTTTAAAGTTCTCCGAACCACTGCGTGATTTGGTGCGCAAAGGAGAGCTGGATATTCAAGGTGGCATCTATCATTTGGAGACAGGTCGAGTGGAGTTCCTTGGTCGTTCTCCCCGTCAGGATGAGCTCTTGTCCTCAAAGCTGTCAGTTCCTCCATCTATGGCTATGAACACGGTACGGACGTCTGAGGATGGGACTTTGGAACCAAACTTGGCCATGCAGATGCTGAAGGAAGGGAATGAGCGCTTTGCTGTAGGAGCTCCACTGATCGGAAAGGTAAACCGCAGCATGAGAGAGGCACTGGCATTGAAGGGCCAAGCACCCCACACTGCTATTGTGGGATGCGCTGATTCACGAGTGCCACTGGAGACTGTTTTTGATGCTTTGCCCGGAGATCTCTTTGTTCTGCGTAATGCTGGCAACACATGCACCCACGCTGAGGGAAGCATTCTTGGGAGTTTGGAGTTCTGTACTGGGGCTTTGAACACCCAGTTGATCTTTGTGCTGGGTCACACCAATTGTGGGGCTCTCAAGGGAGCTACCTCCGCGTTCCTTTCCTCCAAGGAGTCCAAAAAACAGGCAGGAACAAACTGGCATGGTCAACTTCTTGACATCCTCAGTATTTCTAAGTTAGCACTTCGCATCAATTCGCACTACGAAATGGCACTGGGATACCCATGAACATATCCTCTATAAAATGACAGGGGTCAAGGTATGCTATATTTTGTTTTATGCACCTCCAGCGGCGCTTCTTCAGGGGGTCAGTCACCCCACTTTATAGTGATTTCAGGGTTGTAGCTGAAATTTGTCCAGATTTGTTCAGGTTTTTGCAGTGCAGCCATGATCCAGGTTGTTCTTATCCACAGCCATTGATCATTTGATCAAAGATGCCTCGGGTGGGGGCACAACCTCTGAAAGGGAGCCCGGCCCTGTGCCATGTGAAGACATGCTCAGGGAAGATGGGCAAACCATTTCTTTGCATTCCTTCATTTTGGTTCCAATGCCGCCCAACTGCCACCACACAAAAGGCTGGCTTCAACCTTTCAACCCACTATGAAATTGGTGATTGAGCCAGCATCTGCCATCCTTTTGCATTCCTTGATGCCAGCCCTGGCGTTTCAATGGGCCATTTTGGAATAGTGTGTGGCTACTTGTATGATTTCCAAGTGCTGCCACTATAAAATGGCTGGCCTGAACCTTTCAACCCACCATAAAATTGGTGATTGAGCCAGCATCTGCCATCCTTTTGCATTCCTTGATGCCAGCCCTGGCGTTTCAATGGGCCATTTTGGAATAGTGTGTGGCTACTTGTATGATTTCCAAGTGCTGCCACTATAAAATGGCTGGCCTGAACCTTTCAACCCACCATGAAATTGGTGGTTGGGCCAGCACCTGCCATTCTTTGTGGTTGAAATTGCCGGGGAAGCTGGGTATTCAACCCAATCACCAATTTGAAATTGGGTTGGTGGGTTGAAGCTAGCCATTTGATAGTGGCTAGATTTGGGAAATTGTGCAAGTAGCCCACATTAAAACACAGTAGCCCACATTGTGCTATCTTGTGGGCTACTTGCGCAAATTCCCAAATCTAGCCACTATCAAATGGCTAGCTTCAACCCACCAACCCAATTTGAAATTGGTGATGGGGTTGAATACCCAGCTTTCCAGGCAATTTCAACCCAAAAGGGTGGCAGGTGCTGGCTCAATCACCAATTTCATGGTGGGTTGAAAGGTTCAGGCCAGCCATTTTAGTGGCAGCACTTGGAAATCAGTAGCACTTGGAAATCATACAAGTAGCCACACACTATTCCATTTTATAGTGGCAGCACTTGGAAATCATACAAGTAGCCACACACATTTCCAAAATGGCCCATTGAACGCCAGGGCTGGCATCAAGGAATGCAAAAGGATGGCAGATGCTGGCTCAATCACCAACTTCATGGTGGGTTGAAAGGTTGAGGCCAGCCATTTTATAGTGGCAGCACTTGGAAATCATACAAGTAGCCCACGCTGTTCCAAAATAACCCATTGAGAGGCCAGGGCTTGCAGTTGGAGGCATTGGAAGCAAAACCCAGGAATACAAAAGGATGGCAGATGCAGGCTCAATCACCTATTTCATGGTGGGTTGAAGGTTTAAGGACAAGTAGCCCACACTATTCCAAAATTGCCCATTGAAAGGCCAGGGTTGGCACTGGGCGGCATTGGAAACAAAATGAAGGAATGGCAAAATCAAAATGAAGGAATGGCAACATGGCTTGATTCTAAGTGAGGTGCTGAAATCTGTTGACTTGCGCCTTGACCATTTGTAAAGGTAACCAGTCATTTTATAGAGGTTTTAAAAGTAATTTCCAGGTGTTCTGGGGTCAGGCCCCCTCAAAATATAGTGTTTTCATTTGGGTTGGGGCCACTCATTTTATAAGCAGTGCCTAGTCATTTTATAGCGAAAACCATTTTATGTCTATAAAATGGCTTGCAGGACCCCCTCCCGTGTATGTTCATAGGGATGCACTGGGTACATCGTGCTGTTTATACAAAAAGGTTTGGTCCCGAAAACTCGCGAGAGAGAGAAGGGGCAAAGAGAGAGAAAAGGGGACTAGTATTGATTCAAGAGAGGGCAAAGGCTGACAAAGGATTCAAAGGCCGTTGTTTGACTTGCACAGTCTGCAGGCCTCTCAGGCACTGGACGTGCTGCTGAATGAGCTGGGCTCTGTCGTGTCAGAAGCGAAAACCCAATGCCGCAAGCAGGTGTCACCTGGGTGTGATTGAGGACTGAAATTAACAGATGTTCACAAAGGCCTTGTGAAACATACAACTTATGGATACTGCACTTATAGTTCACCTAGTTTTTGTATTGCAATATTTATTTTGACTCTACTGAACTGGCAGGTCTCAAGGCAGCTGTTCACATGTCGAAGAAAACCTAGAGATTGACTGGTGCCTCCAGTGTTCGCTCTTCTCTTTTTCAGCTGATGCATTTGCAACAGTTTTTCTTAGTTCGGCCTTTTTGCAGTAATCAACAACTGTACTCCTTGTCAATATATCCAATATCGATCAATATTGTTCAATAGGAATGAACCATAATGAACCACCTGAATCCGAAAGACTTTTGAAGAGCGCTGCTTGTTTTTTCAGCTTGCTACAAGCGTATCCAAATGCAGGCCACTCTGGATGAGATTGCCGCTAGGGCGGTGAAGCTCAATGTCTTCAATACGATGCACTTCTTGTTGCGGTGCCTTGGGCTGTAAAGCTTCCCCGCCACACATCTCTTTCCAAACCTTTCCCTTCAGCAAAGGGCATGCCAGTGTGATTATTGCATCCTGCATACCATTGTCTTTGATTGTTTTTGATTGTCTTTGATTGTCTTTGTTATTTTCCAGTTAAAGCTTGTGATGCTCATACTTCGCAGGTCAAGGTAAACATGAACCTTTCAAGTGCGGAATGCTGTGAGGCACAATGAAACACACCTGTGACCAAAGATCAATTTCCGACAGAATTTGGTGCAGACAAGTGTTTGAGTTGTCTTCATTAGCCACATGCCAGTTGAGGTATAGTGAACCAATCCGCCAGAAGGCAAGCCCGACAGTTTGCTCATTTGTCAGGTATTGCAAAGCCGGGCGCATGGCTTCGTTATTGACAAGCTCTCAAAGCTACTCCTTATGAATGTGCCAGATCTCAAGGTATATGAGATGTATCATTGAAAGATGTGATTAAGCAGCTAGATCGCTGTGCAACAGATGACCCACCCAGAAAGTCATACAACACTATACAACAACATATCTGTAGCAAGGTCATGAGGATCACGATTGATCACGATTGAAGCATGACTTTGAGTGGAAGGAATCAAACAACTAGAAAAAAAAACAGGTGGGTTTTATCATCTTTTATCCTAAACTTGCCAAGGATTCAAGAATGATTTCTCGACTGAACGCGAATAGTTCGCACATTTTACAGCACTATGACCAGGTGCGTGCTGGAAAATTGGAGATCGAGGGGGGTATCTATGACTTGAAGTCAGGTCGGGTTGAGTGACTTGTCCGCAACTTCATACAACTTCATATCCGTGTCAAGGGCATGAACTCGTACACAAACCTTTGGGTGATCCTGATCTGATTTGTTGGACCGCCCGCTGAATGTTTCTTCAAGCCCCCTATGTTTGTCCAGGTTCTTGGGCAAAAGTCCTCATGAGTCCAAACTGGTGAGAATCGGCAGCAACGTGGCCCCATCTTTGAAGCAGAAGATTGGCGGACCATAGGGGGGTTCTCAACGTCTGAGTGTGATTTGTGCCACTGTGGACCCGCATCCAGGTCCTTTTCAATTCAATTTCTACCAATTTGATACCTTCGCAATCTCTTACGTGTGTGTGTGTGTGTCTTCGTTGCTGAATTGGAGCTGCAGCAAAGCTTGCATTCTCCGTATGCATATACTCTTGTAATTTTTGGATATTTTTGGTCTACTTAAAGCACTTGCTGTGGAAACCATGGCATTGAGGAGCAAATCGAAGTTTTTAATGAACACTCCTCAAACCACTTGGAGCGTGCAACCTTCGTATGTCTGAGCTGGGGTCTGGTGAACAGACACTATTCATCCAGCACCTGGAGAACACCGTGCAGAGCTTCACGCGTGTCTCCAGAAACTTCTGTGCTTGCAGGGACAAGAAAAGAATGAGCTGGAGCTACTTAGTTGACCGTTTGGGAAGGACCCACCTCCAAAACTGCAAACCGGGACAAGCAGGTTATATCTCCTCATATTCATATAAGACGAGAAGAGAACTCGCAAACTTAATTGTCGATCAACTGAGTACTGACATATACTGACATACTTATAGAATCTTGCAGATTTATGTGCAACTTTCGCATGCCCTCTCAAAGATCCTCCCGATGAGTTGCATGGCTGCTGGGAATGGGTCAGTGCGGACAATAAACCCCGCCCAGGTGTTCTCTGACAGCCTTTCCACTCGGCTTATTTGAAGCCTTCAACTGCACAGAAAAAGTTGGAAAGGGGCGATCTGGTTGGATGATGTTGGACGTTAGATGGAAGGCTGTTAGCACATTTTGAAGGAGAAGCACCCCTGAGATCCTCCCATTCTGAGCCAAAAGATGCCAAAAGAACGTGTTAATGCTGTTAATGATTTTGGAATTCTATGGAAGACTACAGAACCTCGACCAGTGAAGACTTTGCCAGATCAGCCAACACAAAGACTTAAAGTTAGAGACTGCTCTGCTTCTTCCCAGGAAGTGGCTGTTCTTCATGGCCCGTCAAGCCGTCCACACCCCTTGTTTCTTTTCCTTCTTTGCCCAGATATTTTTTGTTACCCGTCTGTGCAGGTTTGCTCCGGCAGATTGTCCCAGTTTCTCAAAGCATTTCTCGGGTGCACTAGATCGTACATGATAGTACTAGATACTGTAGCTATTCTGACACTATTCTGACCAGTCCCGTCCCGGTGTGCTTGCGAGCAGATTTCGCAAGTTGTAACTTGGGTTGTGGATAGGAGCAGAGTTTAATGAGTTTAATGTACGATTCCTTTGCCACCAGCTGGTCAAGGGTTCATGATAATATTGACAACTAGAGATCTATCTTCTTTCATAGCGTTCTTTTCATCATGATTGGGCAGTACTTCACTAGAGAACAATTCAACTTGACAGGAAGGATCCCTGCTTCGTTCCCCAGATTTCTCCATTCTTAGAATTGAAAGCAGTTGCGACTGAAGAACATGTTGGGTTTTCAAGCATACATCGCCCTCAGCTGTTTCGGCTGCAGATCCGATCAGTTTATGATCTGCCACCAACATGGCGCTGCAACCGAGGCATTCCGCCCTTGCCATGGTGGCGGTCGTGGCCGGGTTCCATACCTTTGGAGGCCATCCGGTGAGAGTAGTTCCACAGTCAGAGTAGCTTTTGGGTGTCGCGAAGACTTCGTCCTCTCCTACAGTCGGCAGTCTACTTGTCTTGGGAATTGAAGTACGCCTTAACTTCATGTCAGACACAATGAATTTAGGGGCGTCGACCGGCTTGGCTCAGGCTTCCTGGGCAGTCTTTTTGCTTCACCCCTCCGATTCGATTTTCAATCAGATTTTCCAACTCGCCAGCAGGTGGGATACTCGTGCCATGTCAGCTTCAAAGAGTCACACATTGGCCTGCTTTCCTGATGTTTGTTCGGCCAGGAGGGTCGTGACTACGACTGTAGACGTTTGCATTGCGCAGCACTTGTCATAGGTAATCAGAAAAGGCTAATTCTGTCCATCCATTTATGTCTTGATTGGCTTTTGCTTGCGCCATGCACAGGCCTCCTCTCCTTTCATTGGCAGACTTGGCAGCGCAAAGGGTGCAAGCCGGGTTTGGATCTTATCTTGAGACACTGAACTGAGCCGTGCTCCCTGATCTGGCCGCAGATGGTAGAATCATGTAGAATCTTAGCTTCCCTGAGGTGTCCATGAAAGCAGGTGCAGAAGAAGAAAGCCTACAATCTGCAATTAAGGGCGGCAATTCAGATCGGATCACGAAAGCAATTGAAGCGCTTCCTGCTGCTCCAAAAACAGCAATGTCAATGATTGAGGGCGATTGGCAGGCAGGGGCGATGGCAGCATATGGCAGCTACATGTAAGGAACCAAAGCGCAAACACGAACTCACGGCCTTGGTTCATACGCACAAATGCGCTAGTTGCACCGTGCACCTGATTATTGTCTCCCAGAGTGCGAAGACTTTCCTCCCAGCTGAAAGCGTTTTTGCCGTTGTCTTGATCCCTTGGAATGGTTGTTCAACGTATTTGTTTGACACACACACACACAAAGCCTGACCATACATGCAAAATATGTAAAGATCTTTTGTTGTCAAGGCCATTGCCTTTGTGCTGTTTGGTATGTTTGTGTGATTTCTACAGCATTTCTGAGAAACAGGTATCAGGTCATGTCATTGTACAAGTACAGAGGAGTCCACTGGCAACTCTGCATTGAGCCTCATTCAACATAGCTGCTATAGCTGCTGTGCCACGCATCTCAGAGATCAATTGGCCAATTGGCCCCTTCTACAGACATCTATAGACCAGCCCCATGCTACACTGATCTATACTGCCCCCTGCCGCAGGTCACCTGGGACAGCAATAGTCTCGGGCCCACCAAGAAAACTCTCCTGAAGCTGGTGTGCGACCAGCTGCCCAACACCATGGTGGAGTTCTATAGACAATACAACCTGATCCAAGACGGGAAGTACTATTGGCTAATGGCCTTCACCATGGATTCTCGGCCTTGTGGCCTTGTGAGACTTGTGAGATCTTACGAGTCCGGGTGAGAGGATTCCACCAGGATGACGGCGGTGATGATGACGATGATCCGTCTGTAGTCTGCAGGCTTTGAACGGATCTCTTATTTCCTGCAGTGTGCCACCTTGAAAGTCATAGAAAGTCATACAACCTATGTAGGACTTGAAGCTATCAGATTGGAGGCATCTCTTGAATCTCCTTTGGCCCCTTTTGCATTGGTTTAGGAGCTTTCAAAGGCTCTGCAACACAACGTTTGATGATGTTCGGTGGTCTAAGGATGGCATTCAGAGAACCAATGCTGCGCTAATGATGTCCGGCTCGTGGACCGCAGGCAAATCAGGTGCCAAAGGCGCGGGACCAGTATTCGAGAGCCAGACATTCTGACAAGCAGCACCAAGCAGCCATTTCATGCCACTCTATGGCAAATGTCACAAAATTCAAACTTCTATTACTACAACACACCATTTGAATTTTCACATAGGGTCTCGTTCGAGCTTTTGCTGATTGCACCCTTTTAATCCTTTTTATACCTTTTTCGAGTATATAAATATGTAGAAGCTGCAGAAAGACAGGGACCTCTCTCAATGAGGTTGAAGACTAGGCAGCTAGGCTCATTGCTTGGGGGCTTTAGATGTTCATATCATGTCGCATCATGTCGCATCATGTCGCACTGAAGCCATCGAAAGCCATCGAAAGCCATCGAAAGCCATCGAAAGTGAGAGGCACAGTGGACTTCAACGAGGTCCAAATCGTGCCCTCTCGACATGGCAATGCTGAGAGCCGTGAGGCGATCCGCACCACTGGACTAGTGGCTCGACGGCTCGACGGCTCGACGTCATTCACTCCTCAATTTTTGATGGGTAAGACATGGTAAGACATGGTAGGACATGTAGGACTAGTAATTAAGGGGAGTTGTGTCATGTTGTGTCGCTTTTAGTCTTGAAAGAGACAGATTCTAGCAATGTAAAGTGGTGATAGCCACGAAATGAATCTCAGTCACGAATCCGTCTCTCTCACTCACAAGAAACATCTTGGCTAAGTAAAAAAGTGACCTTGGGTCGCCGCAAGAGGAACGGAGAAACAACATGAAACAACTAGGTACTAGGAGGCAGAGGAAAGGGAAGAGGAAGATTACAGTACTGTAGTTTGAGATTCCACCCAGTAGGCTCAAAGTTGCAGTTTTTTTTTTCGCTGGAAGAGGGGCGCTGCTTCACTGGCAAGACAGTAGACAGCTAGATACAGATGTGGTTCGGGCTGAAAATCGACATGATCTTCAGCGGAAAAAAACAGGGTTGCTTATCTCTGTTGAACATTAGCTTTGGATATTCATGGATATTCCTTCCAAATGCCTGCAACAATCTGCAACAATATTTATAGATTTTAAATGATTTTAAGCCGAATCGCCAGTATCTCCAATATCTCCACCTTTTTGAGCCAAGGACAGATACATGAAGCCGCTGAAGCTCAAAGGTGATGGTAAAATTGAAGTTACAATTCACTACGTGAGCGACGAGACCCTCGTTCAGGAGGATGAAGTGGGCAACACCTACGTCTTCAAAAAGATGTCTGATTCATATCCAGTTCCCTATGCTCTTTGGCTATTGTCAGCTTGAAGACAATGTGCTCAACTCCAGCCATTCTATCAACATATATATATATATAATTATATATATATATATCATTTATATCACGCATGTCACCGAAGAGTCTAGCAAAGCAAATTTGCAGGGAACATGCCAGTAGTAGGTAAACTCGATTCATATTCATGATATATTCATATATATTCTGTATTTTATCAGGGACATGTCATGATTATCATGTCTCCGATGATTTGTGCCGAGATTTTCGCGGACAAGAAGGCAGAGAGCTGAGGGAAGCTGGTGAACCTCGCAAGCTCTCAGCGCGGAATAGCAAGGGGAGAGAACGCATGCAAATATGATTTCCCCAAAACTCACAGGATAAGGGTTAGATATCCCAAATGGAGCTACCCCTGGTTGGAACCTTAGACGGAACAATTTCTTGGAATGGTGTTACCGTTTTACCAACCTGCCAAGCGGGGTATCTCCAGTTGGGATATGAAACATGTCCAAATCCTCCAAAAGCACAGGCTTCGTTTTAAAGAGGCCCACAGGGCACTTGCTAAAGATTAAGCCACAAAACACATCAGTGCCCCCAAAAAAACAGCGAATCATTGAGGCTGGAACTGTTACGATTTTCCGCAGTCGTTCAAGATCCCTCAGCTAAAGCCTTCCTTTCAAAGACTTTTTTCAGCCTGGAGACCAAAGCAGTAAGAAGCACCTTGACGCCCACCGTCCCAAATCTGTGTGTTGGATGAAAGACATACTGACATACTGTACCAATCATACTCTGCCACGTTTGTGAAGCACTCGCAGCCGATTTGACTGCATTGCAGTGTGGCCAGAACTGGCTACCAAGAACAAAGTTCAAATCAAAGACTTGTGCCAAGTCTCAGAGAGTCCTTTCAGTTTCGGTGATCAAATGTGTCGCAACTTATTTTTTTGAACCACATAACACAGTCTTATTTCAAATATAATTGTGGATATTCTTCATACCTCACTGAGGCAGGTGCTATGAGCCAAGTTACATGATTTCACTTGTACATGACCCATCGGAGCACAGACCATTCTTTGGAAAAGAGTGAAAAGAGTCGCCGCGAAGCTGCTGTCGGCAAGGAGGATAGTTGAGGATTCTAGACCCTACTGTACATCAAGCTTCATGATAATGTCAAGACACAGCTCTAGATGCTCCAGCATGTGGGATGGATAGACCACAAAGTTTCCAGAAGCACAGCCAGAAACAAAGCCTCACTTCAGTCCGGCACGGACTATACAAGACGATACAAGACTTAAAGAGGAACATGACGAACTGATTCAACAGAGCTTCCCCGTCTTCCCCGTCACCTTTGAACGACTTGAGAGTCTTTGAGGTCAAGACACTGAGCATTGTAACATTTTGTAACATCAGCTGCTGAGCCTTGACTAAAGCACATTGCTGATCACCATGACCTTAAGAGTCGCGCGTCGTCGGGAATAAGAAACGCGCTCGTTGAGGGGACTGTGACTTATATCAGTCAAAAAATCTCGTGCGTTTTTACATTCAAAATGCTTTGGCCAATGCCAACGAATTCCGCTTGCTTCCTTGGTTCAAAGTTTTTCTGATTGTTGACAGGTTGGAAGTGCTTGGAAGGCACAAACATATATAAAATTATGCTAAGGATTGTCAAAGCATCTTCCAACATTCCGCAACGCGACTAGAGCATGGGGACCTGGAACACTCTGTTCTCAAGGGTCGGTGTTCTGGTTACAAGTAGAAAATTCACTGCGATGAAATGTGCGCACGGACGCTAAAGCCATGCCGCAAAATGCGGGACAGCAACACCTTGGATGCGTGCCAGCCTGCACTGGATGGTATCGTTTTCAAAACATATGTGACATACAGTGACATACAAGTCACCTTTCAACATCACAAAGTAGCTAGCTCCTGCTATTTGCAATCCTTCCTTCTTTAGCGACACAGGACTGTGCTCAGTCGGTTAGGGCGGCGTCTCTTCTTTAGCAATGTGTTTGCCTCCTCCTTCAATAGCAGCGAGAGATACGTGGCACGCAACAGTTTGTGTTACGAACCTCCACCTAGATGTGCAAGGTAGAGTTTGACACCTTATGATCGTTCCGCAGGTACAGCAATCAGTTTTTGTTTATACTAGTACGTCCTTTCAGACATAGGCAGTTGATGGCAGTTGTATGTACTGAGACCTTGCGTTTGCCTGCGCGAGGGCGGCCCTTTCGCAGGACACGGCATGAACGTGCTGAAACCTCAAGCTAGAAGCTATCAACGCATTTGATACGAAACTAGATTCACCCAACAAATCGTCGATGTTTCCCAGCCTCAAAACATTCGTGAGGGAACCCACGCATTGAAACAACGTTTTAAGACCCTCACTGAGAAGTCCATGACACGCGGCCATCCAAGGGATCCAAGGGTCATCAAGGGTCGGGATCCAAGAAAGCCATGTGTAGTGTGCGAGCATGTCCGAACCTTCCATGAGTTTGCAACAATTGATGCTCATTTTCTCATATTTTCTCATTTTCTCTCGCACGCGGATGTTTTCAGTGTAAAAATTCATGTAAAATGTGATGCCAGGGCATGGTCCAATCAAGGTTAGCCGGTGGGCCCATGATTCTACGAAACACTTTGAAGGCGTCCTTTTTTTTTAACATGTGAGGCGGCGTTTCCCTTCCCCGTGTCCTTATAGGACTGTATATAGTAGAAATGGTACACTTCGACTCAAACGGGCGCAAAGCGAAGCACGTTCAATTTGTATCATTTTGTCCAAATCTCTTAGACACAGTTAATATTTGCCGGTGTCCAGCCGTTTCGGAAATCAGAGCGGGTGTGACAATTGAATCAAAATATCAAAACACCTTATCGTCGTTATTTTAGTCACAAAAGATCGAACAGTTGCCATGGAGAAGACATGTTCAACGTGAAACAACAACAAATCCACAATAACTCGTTTCTCGTTTCGCAATGCTCACGGTTGGCCACTTTCAACATTCCAATCGCTTGTGTGATATAGTGCGATTGTGTTTGGTCCAAAATTCCCAGGTCTGACCCAGGTGTTTTCAGATGTTGTGGGGGCTGCTGTTGGGCTGTGAGCGTTTTAATTTTCGAAGCATTGACATCTTAACGCGCCCACCAACTCACTGGCGAATTGCGATGGCGGAAACGGATGTGGGGTCTGCTGTCGCCATAGCCCCAACATGTCCAACTCGAAGGCGTCAGGTTGCGGTGGCAGAAAAAATCGGATTGAAAATGCAGCGTCTCACGCCCCGGTTGGTTTATAATTGAGGCGTGCATTGCTAATCACTTGGGCTTTTTGCAATTGCAACATATTGCAACATATTGCAACATGGCATTCAAATCCGGCCTGACTGCTTTCCACAATGCATCCCAATGTGCCCTGCCAAACGCTCTGGATAAGTGACTTTGCGAGAAGGATCTCATCCTACATCATATGTGCAGATAAGACATATGTTTTGATTCTTTGATCTTCTTATCATTCTTGACACCATATAATATATAATATATTATATACTATATATTACATATAATATTATATATATATATTATATTATATTATATACATTATATTATACTATATTTGTTATATTATATATTATGTATTATATATTATAAATTATACATTATATATTATATATTATATATTATATATTATACATTATACATTATATATTATACATTATATATTATATATTATATATTATACATTATATATTAAATATTATACATTATACATTATATATTATATATTATACATTATATATATATCTATATTATATTATATTACATTATATTATATTATATTTATATTATATTACATTATATTACATTATATTTATATTATATTATATAATTATATTTATATTATATTATATTATATTATATTATACATATATATATTATGCTGCTGGTTACCACTTCCAAGGTAGCAGGTAGGCTCAATCCGGCCCAGAACCAAGTATATTAAATATTATGTTTTATAACAACCTATGCTTGCGATGGGAAGAAAACAGGCTGTGGTTTGTGCAGGTGTTGTGAAGGGAAACGTTGGGAACCACGCTTTTCGGTATGAGGATGGCAGAGAATGGATGGCCAAAACATGCTCCCAACAAATCTGCGAATTCATTGGTGCAGGGCGGTTGGGCGTGCGACATTTTGTCACGATCTCGATTTCTCGCAACACCTTCCGCGTGCCACCGTGCTGCAACAATTTTTCAATTGTGAAATGATAAAATGTGTTAATAAATATGTTATATAAATATGAAAATTATGTTTTCCGCTCACCAATTTGCACTGTGCATCTTCGAACACGCGCATTTTTCAACAAGCCGGAGGGTTTGAAGTTGTGCAATTTTCATTCGAAGTCCTGGCTGCACACCCTTCGTACAAGTGGCGCCCTAGAGTCGAAAGATCTATGCGTCCGCCCACCTTGCTCCTGTTTCCAACGTCTTAATTTGCAGCGCCCCTACCCAGCAACACACGTTCAAAATATGAACCGGATTGACATGCTAAGTAATGTTTAGAATTCACCCTTCGTTCCCGCTGCAAAACAACCGTGGAATATACGAAGGAAACTGACCTATTGTATAGATTGTAAAATGTAATATGAAGATATCACTGAAGGATATGACCAAAATTGATCAAAATTGTATAAAATTGTCATTTTTAGTTTTACCACCGTCACCCCACCGAGCAAGGCTTTGAATGTGAAAGTTGACATGTTGAGTCCGTTTGAACTGTTTGGCGCCCTAGGCTATAATTGCTGACAGTTATTTATGTGATTTGTCAGCTGTAGAAGATTCACACATGATTCTCGTTGCAACAGATTTGACATTGAGAAGGCAGGTGGTCACTTAAATGTATTTGCGTCCAAGCTTTGGATACCGAATCCTGAGGAGTTTTTGTTCTCAATTTGTAAGCTTCGCCAAATGGTAGGTAGATGCCATGCTAGTTTTTGTCCATTACTGTGCTTTATTTTTCTTTCTTTGTGCCATGCTTGAGCCCAAAATTGGTGACCCATTGTGGCATAATTACAGACTTCAACTTCAACTGCTCACAGAACCACGCCGGCTACCACTCCATGGCATCCCTTCTCCCAAGACCTCAAGTTTGTGTCAAGAAGGTCATGAACTCAATTGACTTCGTCCCATGCAGCCACCAAGGCGAACCAACACGGAACATTCAAATCTGCAACATCTGAATTTTCAGCAAGGCGGAGAATGAATGGAACACAGCGCTTCGAATGCCTTTTGATTACAGACACATGGGTGGCTGGGACATTCTTTCCAACCACCGTTTCCACAATTCCACGTCGCCATTTGTTTGATGACCCCCCTCGTTTCA